GGATTCTTGGGGCAAGGAAAATGTTCTGTATGGTACCATAATGATGGCTACATGTCATACATTTGTCCAAATCCATAGAATGTAAAACACCAAGAGTGACCCCTAATGTAAACTACGGACTTTGGGTGATTATGATGTGTCAGTTTAGGCTCATCAGTGGTAACAAATGTCCCGCTCTGGGGGGAGATGTTGATAATGAGGAAAGCTATGCATGTGTTGTGGGAGGGGATATATAGGGAACTCTTTGTAATTTCTAAGCTCAATTTTGCTGTGAACCTAAAACTGCTCTAAAATATAAACTTTACTTTTTTGAAAGATAAAATATGGAGTGATGGATATGTTCATTATCTTGACTGTGATGATGGTTTCATGAGTATATCAAAACTTACCCTATTCAAGTATGTTCAGTTAGAATTGTCAATTATACCTCAATAAGTCTGTTTACAAAAAAAGGAATGAAGTGTTGATATATTCTACACCTTAGATGAACCTTAAAAACATGATGCTAAGTGAAAGAAGCCAGACACAAAGGCCACATATTATATGATTCCATTTATATGAAGTGTCCGGAATAGGCAATCCATAGAGATAGAAAGTAGATTAGTGGTTGCTGGGGCTTGTGGGGGAGGGGAATGGGGAATGACTACCAATGGGTATGGGGTTTCATTCTGGTTTGATGAAAATGTTCTGAAATTAGGTAGTGGTGTTGGTTGTACAATTCCGTGAATATACTAAAACCAGAGATTAAACATTTTTTCTCTCTTTTTTTGTTTTATCTTTTAATTTTTAAAGTTATTTATTTTTAATTTATTTTAATTAATTAGTTAATTTAAAAATTATTTATTTATTTTTGGCTGTGTTGGGTCTTTGTTGTTGCGTGCGGGCTTTCTCTAGTTGTGTCGAGTGGGGGCTGCTCTTCGGTCTGGTGTGCAGGCTTCTCACTGCGGTGGCTTCTCTTGTTGCGGAGCACGGGCTCCAGGCGTGCAGGCTTCAGTAGTTGTGGCTCGTGGGCTCTAGAGTGCAGGCTCAGTAGTTGTGGCGCACAGGCTTAGTTGCCCCGCGGCATGTGGTATCTTCCCGGACCAGGGCTTGAACCTGTCCCCTGCACTGGCAGCAGATTCTTAACCACTGTGCCACTAGGGAAGTCCAGATTGGACACTTTTTTTTTTTTTGTGGTACGCGGACCTCTCACTGTTGTGGCCTCTCCCGTTGCGGAGCACAGGCTCTGGACGCGCAGGCTCCGGACGCGCAGGCTCAGCGGCCATGGCTCACAGGCCCAGCTGCTCCGCGGCATGTGGGATCTTCCCGGACCGGGGCCCGAACCCGTGTCCCCTGAATCGGCAGGCGGACTCTCAACCATTGCGCCACCAGGGAAGCCCCTGGACACTTTTAAATGGTGAATTTTATGGCACGTGAGTTATATCTCAAAAAACCTTTTATTTTTTTTTAGAAGAGTGATAGGGTTGTTACAGACTGTTTTGTCCTCCACCTCCCTCTGCAATTCGTAGGCTGAAACTTCAGCCCCAATGTGATAGTATTAAGAGGAGGAGGAGGCTTTGAGGAAGTGATTATGCCATGAGGGTGGAGCCCTCCTGAATGGGAATTGCAGCCTTATAAAAGAGACCCCAGAGAGCTCCCTTACCAGGTGAGGACACAGTGAGAAGGGAAGAGGGCTGCCTACGAACAAGGAATTGGAACTCTCACCAGACACGGATCATGCTGGCATCTGGATCTTGGAGTTCCAGCCTCCAGAACTCTGAGGAGTAAATTTCTGTTGTTTATAAGCCATCCAGTCTATGGTATTTTGTTAGAGCAATCTGAACGGACTAAGACACCCCCTGCTGGCTGTCTATTCTCAGCCAAACAGCCAGCGCCTTCCTGTTAAAGCTTATCAGGTGACATCACTCCTCTGATGTAAAGTCCTCCACTGACTCAACTTAGGTCTAGCCCATCGGGCCCTGCTGTTACCTCTCCACCTCCCTCATCTATAGCCCCCTTTGTTCATGTCATTTTAGCAACTGTGGCCTCCTTCTCTGGCCTCGAGTCTTTGCATTTGCTGTTGCTGCTTCTCACCCTCTGTTGGTGATTATTCTCCCCAGCTCCCTCCCTCCTTCAGCTCTGGACTTAAGTGACTCTTCAGTGAGAGCTTCCCTGACCACCCAAATATTTAAACTTGCAACCCACAGCCCACCCACCCCTCCCTCCCAGGTCCTCCTCCTGCTTTCTTTTCTTCTCCCAGCACTTTTCACATCATTTATGCTATGTGCTCTACTTCTTTGTTTATTATTTGTAGCTCTGCATTGCATGTGGGCCCTATGAGGGCAAAGATCTTTGTTTTGTTTCACTGATGTGTCTCCAACACCTGTCACAATGCCTGGCACCAGGTGCTTGATAAATGTTTGTTGAATTCACACCTATGTTCATAGCAGCACTATTCACAATAGCCAAGACATGGAAACAACCTAAATGTCCATCAACAGATGAATGGATAAAGAAGATGTGGTACATACATACAATGGAATATTACTCAGCCATAAAAAAGAACGAAATAATGCCATTTGCAGCAACATGGATGCAACTAGAGATTATCATACTAAGTGAAGTAAGTCAGAAAGAGAAAGACAAATACCGTATGACATCACTTATATGTGGAATCTAAAATATGGCACAAATTAATCTATCCACAAAACAGAAACAGACTCACAGAGAACAGACTTGTGGTTGCCAAGGGGGACAGGGAATGGGGGAGGGATGGAGTGGGAGTTTGGGGTTAGTAGATGCAAACTATTTCATATAGAATGGATAAACAGCAAGGTCCCACTGTATAGCACAGGGAACTACATCCAATATCTTGGGATAAATCATAATGGAAAAGAATGTAAAAAAGAATGTATATATGTGTATAACTGAGTTACTTTGCTGTACAGCAGAAATTAACACAACATTGTCAATCAACTATACTTCAATAATAAATAAATAAATAAATAAATAAATATTTGTTGAATGAATAAGGAGTAGAAGGTAAGTTAGGGGGAACGAGAAGAGCTGAGATGAAAGAAGAAATGAAGCCAACAAATATTAAGGTTGTTAAAGAGTATGACCATAAAAAATGGCCGTGGATCTTAGATGCTCCATCTTTTTATCCAAAGCCTCTGGCCTGAGCCACCTTTAACAACTTGGCAGAAGTGCCCTGGAGTCTGGATGGGAGGAGAGGAGAGGAAGAGGGAGCAGGGGCCAGGTGGGCAAGGGTTGGGAGGGGTCTGGTTCCACAGGGGAACCACTTCTTACTTCCCAGCCAATGAGGGGGCTGCATTTGAGCCACTGTTTCAGAAACAACGTAACTAGTGCAGACTGCTCCTTTGATAAACTGGCAGATGAATCCCCATGGGGGTATGCAGGATTTGGGGAAGGGGAGGTGAATTGGCTCCAGGGTTCACTCACCAATCAGGAATAAGAAACACAGGCTCCTGGGGAGAGAGGCTGCCACTGGAGGGGGGTGGATATGAATGGGCTGTGAAGCTGGAGGTGTGGATTGAGATGCAAAATACTACGCAGTTAATGATTTCTCCTCTCCCACGGCCCGGACCACCCTGTCAGTAGCACTTTCCATTTTTCTCAGTCATAGCTCCCTGTTTGTTTCTTTCAGAGAACTCCCCACACTCTGTAACTACCTTGCTTGTTCTCTTGTTTATCTGCCTCCCCTTCTAGACTCTAAACTCCAGGAGAGCAGGGATCTAGTTTCCCTTGTTCCCTGATCTAGTCTGAGAGTCTAGCACAGTGCCTAGTATATATAGTAGGTGCTCAAGAAATATTTGTCAAAGGAATGAATGAACCCAGACAGAAGGAAATACTCTAATCACACTGCTTCTCCACTGGATGGATGGGGATGGGGCACTCTGATCCTCCTTCCTGGGTTGTGCCTCTTGTTCCAGGCTGTGTCATGGACACCTGGCCCCCAAAGCACGCTGTCAGCACGAAGAGCCTCTGTCCCAGGGGCATACCTTGGGCACAGCCTCTGTCCTGGGCTCCGGTTTTGAGTGGTGGCGGTAGGAAAAGGGCTCCTGGAATTCCTTCGCTAGGATAGGGGTATGAGTGAGAGAGATGGGTTAGAGATGGAGTCATGTGGATGGGGGCCCGGGTGGGTGGGAGGATAGACTCACAACAATCTAGAAGAGAGAATGAGGCCTCAAGAGCAGAAGGGCTGAAAAGGAGGTGGCACATTTGAGAACTATTTAGGAGGTAAATTAAGCAGGATTTGGTGATCGACGGTATTGAAGAGAAGGAAATTGGGGCACCAGGAATAATCCCAAGGCTTTAAAAGAATCAGTGCCGCAGCCATTTCTTTTTGGCCTGTAGGTTCCTCTGGTCCAAAGGCACAGAAATGGCCACTGGATTCCTCTGTCGCTCCACAGTCTATTCAGGACTTACGGCGACCCTCACAGGTATCCCGTCACGTGCTGCGCTCTGAGGAACATGCTCCGTGTGTTGAAGGGGCGCACGTCTGGTCTCGGAGACAGACACAGTGTGACCACTGCGGCCATCGCATAAAGGATGCTCTGGGGCCGAGAAGGACGGGGTCGGATGAGTCTTTACGCGGAGACACCTAAGTGGGGTCTCCCGAAAGAACAGGTGTTTGCTACCGTGGTATGAGGTGGGCAAAATGAATAAGGGCGGAGGTAAAGCACTAGGAAAGGCAATAAAACGACTTAAGAAATAAGAAAGAGGTCTGTCAAGCGGCTGGAACACCGTGGGTGTGAGCGCCGGGATCATGATGTCCCAGACTGGGCAGCGCGTGGAGGCCGTACTGGAGTTTGGATTTATCTCCCAGCCCACGCGGGAGAGACACAATACGGCCCCAACTTACAGGTCAGATCCAGGGAAGGCAGCCTAAAAGCCTCTGGCTGGAGTGGAGCGAGGGGGTGCCCCCAGTTAGGGACTTCCAAGTCCCTGTAACCGAAACCCCGGGAAGCGGCGGCTTTGGGCAAAACCATTCTCCGGAGGTGGAGAGGGGAGAGAAGGCCAGCACTCGGAGCCCAAGTCCGCTGAACCAGCTGGAACTCCACTCGCCTCTTCTTCTCGCTCTTCTCTTACTTTTGCGCTCTGTTTCGCCTCATTAGCTCGCCTCCTGAGCGCCCGCCAGTGCTCCTCGGCCGCCCCCTCCCGCGCGTGGTACGGCCCGGCGGGCGCGCATCCAGGCACAGGTTATAAAGGCCCTGCTGCGGCAGCCGACTGCGGACTCAAGATGCGCCCGAAAGAGTTGGGGCAGGGTTCAGCCGGCGACTGGCCGGGACCCGGCGATCCGGCAGCAGTCACCCCAGCTCCTCCGCCCGCAGCCAATCCCGCTCCAGAGCCCTCCGCCGAGCCTGAATCCGCCCCTGTGCTGGTACCGGCGGCAGGACAGGCAGCAGGATCCGGATCCGCAACCGTCTCGGGACCCTCAGCGGGAGCTCGCCCGGCCTCCAAGGCTGGATCGGAGGCAGGAGTCCAGCGCGCGTCCGCATTCTCGGCAGTCCAGGGGAATGCCCAGTCCGTGCCCGACAACTCGGACGCGCCGTGGACTCGCTTCATATTCCAAGGTCCATTTGGCCCCCGGGCCGCTGGCTTGGGGACTGGAAAGGCAGCGGGTATCTGGAAGACGCCGGCTGCCTACATCGGCCGGCGGCCTGGGGTGTCGGGCCCCGAGCGCGCCTCCTTTATTCGGGAGCTGGAGGAAGGTAAACTGGGTCTCCGGACCCCCGGAGCAGGTGGGACTAGGGCAGCAGCAGGGAGGAGGGGGCCCCGTCGGGTCCGGGAGCCCGGTCCCCTCTGGCACTCAGTCCCACCCCTCCGCCCACCCTTGCGAAGTCACGGTCTGCGGCGCCTCTCCGGTCCCCTTTTCCCCACTCCTTCTCCCCTTCTCTCGTTCCCTATTTCCGTCGGTGGGTAAGATCCCCGGGGCTTGCGCTCCCCTGCCCTCCTCTTCACGCCTGTTGCTGCAGCAGATCTGCGCACTCTCAGTGCCCCCCTCCCGAGGCTACCGCAGTGCCAGGAGAGGGGCGGGGGGCTGCGGGAGGGCGCTGCCCGGTGCGCTCTGAGCCTGCGCTGGCCCGCCGCGCCAGCGACGGGGAGGTGGGTGGGCAGAGGGGAGGTTTTGCCAACCTCCTGGCTGCTGGGGTCAAGATCGGGCTTCCCCCCCTACTCCCAAACAATCTTGGGGGTGGGCGGAGCCTCAGACAGAAGCTGCCTCTCCTCTTCCCTCCGAGCTGTAGGACTGGGATCTCCTTACCCCTCCCAGGCCCCTCCAGAAAAAACAAACAATCAATCAAACAAACAAACGAGTCCAGCTGGCCCTGGGAGCAGGGAAGGGAGTGCTGATTACTGGGGGTATGGAGAGGATATTGGGGGCAGAAAGGGAACTCAGTCTTCTCCCTTGTTGCTGACCCTTGCTGTTGAGGGCAGGAAACTGTAGGGTGGCAGGTAGCATGTGCCCCCTTTTTCCTGATGCAGCTTCCCGTTTTCTCTTGCAGCGCTGTGTCCTGACCTACACCCACCAGTGAAGAAAATCACCCAAGAAGATGTCAAAGTGATGTTAAGTTTGCTAGAGGAGGTGTGTGCTGCCTTCCCCACCCGGGGCAGCCCCAGCTTTAGCCAGGCTCCCGTTTTAATTATGTCTGTAGGGGTAGGAGTGTTCCTCCTGCCTGGCTACCTCTCTGGGGGCCAAGCTGGAGGTCCCTCTTATGGAAGACAGGTGGATGTGGGATGTCCAGGCTGCAGGAGCTCTTAGCACCATCCGTTCTGATCTCTTTTTCCATAGGGGGAAACTGAGTCAGGTCCCACAGTGGGTTCATGGCAGGCTCTTGTCTAGTACCTTGGAGAACTAGGGGATGGAGAGGGTCTCCAGTAGTGGCCTAGCTTTCCTCTGGACGCTAGCTCCTCCCGTCTGTCTGGGAGATCCCAGAAACCAGGAACATATTCCCCATGGATGGGGGTCCCTCTGCAGAGAGAGCGGGACCTGAACACGGCAGCTCGCATTGGCCAGTCCCTGGTGAAACGGAACAGTGTTCTGATGGAGGAGAACAGCAAGCTGGAAGCCATGCTGGGCTCGGCCAGGGAGGAGGTACCTGGGTGGGGAGGGCAGCGGGAGGCGGCCGGCCTCCATCCCACTGTGCTGGGATGTGTGCCTGCCCCTGCCCATACCCCGCCCCAGGGCTTCTCTTCCTCCTGCCAGATTTTACGTCTCAGACACCAGGTGAGCCTGCGGGATGACCTCCTTCAGCTTTACTCAGACTCTGATGATGAAGAGGAGGAGGACGAGGAGGATGAAGAAGAAGAGTGGGGGCATGGTCATCCCTACGAAGCCTCAGATCCGTCAGTGTCCTGCCTTTTTTTTTTTTTTTTTTTAAATTTTTCACTGTGCCACGCGGCTTGCGAGATCTCAGTTCTCCAACCAGGGATTGAACCTGGGCCACGGCAGTGAAAGTGCCAATCCTAACCACTGGACCGCCAGGGAATTCCCCGCAAGTGTCCTGCCTTTGCACCTGGGCGGCCCCTTCTCCAAGCCTCAGTTTCCTTGTTCGCAAACAGGGACACCATGTACCTGCCACTGGGGTTGCTGGAGCTAACTGAGACCACCGCAGTCAGCCTGGGGTGGGGGAGCCCTGGGTGGGCTGGGAACTGGGTCCCCCGAGCCCCTGCACCCCGACTCCCATCACTCCCTCCCCTAGGACTCCTCTGACAGAGTCAGAATCACACCACTGCCCGCAGCTGGAGGCCCTGCAGGAGCGGCTGCGGCTGCTGGAGGAGGAGAACGAGCAGCTGCGAGAGGAGGTGAGGACGGGGGAGGAGGGCGTGCCCGTGGGCAGGGGGTGTTGACGCCCCTGCCCCTTCCTCTCTCCCGCTCTCCAGGTCTCTCAACTCGATGACCTTGAGGAGGAGAGACAGATGTTCATCCTGGATTGTGTGGAGCAGTTTTGTACGTGAACTTGTAACTGGGGGTAGGGGGCGCTGTCCAGAGGAGCAGAGACAAGAACCCGGGATTTGGAGTCTGGAGACTTGAGTTCATGTCGCAGCTCTGACACCTCCTAGCTGTGTTACCTTGGACAAGTTCCTTAACCTCTCTGAAACTTCATCTTTAGAATGGGGGTTCATAATCTTGGCCCTGCTGACCTCTCCAGGGGTTATAGCTGAGGAAGTGCTTTGTGCAAACTGTAAAGAGCTGTACGGATGCTATGGGGCTCCTCTAAGCTTGTCTCCTTTTGTTATCTGAGAAGGGGGAGGGAGGGGGCTGGGAGCGAGGAATGGAGGGAGCCATGAACTGCCAGAGACCAGGCCCCCCTCCCTCCTCAGGCACTGCATTATTAGGCAGAGGCTGTGCCTGGCACTGTGTGGTCCTGAAGATGAGTGAGGCACAGCGTTTGTCCCTGAGGAGCTCAGGCCTAGCTGGGGAGATGCATACTCAAGGTGGCAACAGATGAACTCGTGCAGTTCCGCTCACTCCAAATCTGGCCTTCCTTCCCCCTGGGTTCCCTGAATGGCCCCCCCTGGTCCCAGGCCCCCGGAGTAGGAGCCAGTCCCCACATTCTGTTGCTCCTACGTCCTAGGAAAGGCTCACGTCTCTTTCCTTTTCCCACCCCAGCTGCCTCTAGCCCAGGTCAACTCTTAACTGGTCTCTCTGCCTCCACTCCTACCCTTCCAGGCCCTTCTGCACACAGCGCAAAGGAGTTTTCTAAAACCAAATCTATGTCACTCCCCTGCCTAAAACACCCAAATAACTCCCCATTGGCCAAAGGATAAACCCCACCCTCCCTACCCCAGCCCTAGTGATCTGGGCCCTGCCCACCGCCCCAGCCACTCCCTCCTGGTGTCCTCTGGGCCTCTCCACACCCTGCCTGGGCCCTGTCTTCCCTTCTGCTGGGCGAGCCCCATTTCCCCGGGGAGGTCCTAGCATCTCAGACCTTGCCAGGCTGGCCTGGGTGCGGCAGCTGTGACCCCCGATGCACCCTTTACACTTGCCACATCCTAGTCCATAATATGCACTATTGTGATTTCTTTTTCCCTCAGTCTCCACACTAGTCTTGAGCTCAGTGTGGGCTGGGGCCAGGTCTTGCTGACTGCTTGTCCAACACCCTGCTCTGTGTCAGTCAGTAAATGTTTATTGAAAAGAAGACCCGAGTGAGGGATGCTAAGCCCTGTGGAACCTCGGGTACTTGGCGCGAGCTGAGGGGTGCAGGTGGACGGAGGCATCTGGGAGACTGAGGACCCAGGGAACCAGGGCTGACCTCTCCTCACTCCTCCCCAGCGGAGGCCAGCCAGCAGATGGCCGAGCTGTCGGAGGTGCTGGCACTCAGGATGCAGAACTATGAACAGCAGCAGAGAGAGGCTGCCCAGCTGCGGGCCCAGGTCATGAAGCTGCAGCAGTGCTGCCAGTCGGTGCGTCAGGGTGTGTGCGCGGGGCTCCTTGCTCCTGTCATGGCCCCATGGGACCCACACCTCCTTCTCCCTGCCCCCACCCCATGGAGCTCAGAGGCCCAAGGCCCCTCTCTGTGTCAGAGTCAGTGTTGGAGGAGACATCAGAGAGCGCCTCATCCTGTCCCCTCGTCCCAAGTTGGGGACCGAGCCCAAAGAGAGACACAGGGTGTTCCAGGAAACAGGCCACGTGACTCCCCACGTTCTTTGGCCTTATTCCATGTGACTTCTTTTTTGAAGAGCTGCCAGAGACTCATTGATGAGCCTGGGAAGATCTTGCCAGAAGCAGGGTGTGCGCGGGAGCGGGGAGGTCTGGGGTGAAGTTCACTGGTCTTGGGTCCTTCCAGTATGGGGCTGAGGCTGAGAAGTTGCAGCAGCAGCTGGCTTCGGAGAAAGAAATCCAGATGCAGCTCCAGGATGAGGTGAGGCTACCCTGGGCTCCTGGGGGACCTGGGACCCTCGGGCAGCTGCCTGACTCTCCTGAGAGGACAAGCTCCTTGCAGCAGGGACTGGGTCTGTCCTTTCCATACCCTCAGCCTCTGGCACAGGGCCTGGCAGGTGGCAGTTCATTTGGGGTCTGAGTGGAGTGGAGTCCGGGGATCACCCTGCATATCATTATGGGGGTCTAGAGTCTGGGCCTCCTGCCTCTTTGCCCAGGCTTCCCCGCCCCCTGGGGAGAGAGTGGGCAAGGTGTCTGGGCTGGGTGTGCCTGCGTCCCAGCAGAGCCTGTGGGCGGGTTCCCAGCTGCAGGACCTACGGGAGAAGTACTCTGAGTGTGGGAGCATGCTGATTGAGGCCCAGGAGGAGGTGAAGACCCTCCGCCAGCAAGCCCCGGCGTCCACGGGCTCTGTCACCCACTACACGTGCACTGTACCTCTGGTGAGGCCCCCTGGCTGCCTGCCTTTTTACCTCTGTGCGATCTGTGTCTATCCGCAGTCCTTTCCTGTGCCCGGGGGTACGGGTGGGGGGTTCTGTGGGGATCTTCTGGTGATGTCCCCCCTCTCCATCGTAGGAGGCACTTCCTGATTTCCAGGAGACCCTGGCTGAGGAGCTCAGAACGTCTATAAGGAGGATTATCTCAGACCCTGTGTTTTTTATGGAAAGGTGCACTCTGGGCCCCAGACCTTTGCCTGCCCTGCACTCACTCTTGCCTACCTGGTAGGCAGCGGCCTTTCTGGTAGTGGGAGGGGGTTCACCCCACACCCCGCTCTGACCTCCCTCCCCCGCCCCTCCCCCCCCGGGGTGCCCCTCCTCCTGCCTCATTGGTCCTTGGCCCCTTCCACTCAACACCTTTCCTCTGTGCACACGTTCTGGGTGTATCATTTCCCCCTGGGATTTTTCTGCATGATGGGGTCCCAGGGATTTCGCACTTTCAGCTTCCCGTTGCCTCGGGACAGTGAAGGCCCTTTTCTATGTTGAAGGAATTATGAAGTGACTCCAGAGGAGACCTCAGTTCTGGGGTACGCTGACCAGGGGCTCCCCCTTCACCTGCCCTCACCTTTTTAAAAAAATATTATTATTTTTTTGGCTGCGTTGGGTCTTTGTTGCTGCACAGGCTTTCTCTCCTTGCGACGAGTGGGGGCTACTCTTCGTTGCGGTGTGTGGGCTTCTCATTGCGGTGGCTTCTCTTGTTGAGGAGCACGGGCTCTAGGTGCATGGGCTTCAGTAGTTGTGGTGCACGGGCTCAATAGTTGTGGCTCGCGGGCTCTAGAGCGCAGGCTCAGTAGTCGTGGCACATGGGCTTAGTTGCTCTGCGGCATGTGGGATCTTAGTTCCCCAACCAGGGCTTGAACCCGTGTCCCGTGCATTGGCAAGTGGATTCTTAACCACCATGCCACCAGGGAAGTCCCCACCTGCCCTCACCTTTCAGCAGCCAGACAACCCCCTGCAGCTGGTTCTGTGGCCCTACAGCCCTGGAGAAGCCCCTGCTCTCGGGCCGGCTGGGCTAAGAGTTGTTCTGGGAAGGAGCTGCCCCCTTTGCCTTCAAATTTTGCCCCATGGGTGGCCATCTGATTTGAGGCTTCTCCAAGTAGGGGCTGAAGCCTTCCCTTCACCTGACCAGGGGCTGAGAGGCGAATGGGCACTGGCCTAGGAGCTGGAAACAACTGGGACTGAGTCCCAGCTTGATCCCTTTACTGGCTGTGTGTCCTTGGGCAAGTCACTTGACCTGTCTGGGCCTTACTAAAATGGATTTGTTCCTATGGCAACTAGATGTGGGATGGGTTGTGAATGTTCAATAATGAAGGAGGGGGGCAGAGGGGATGTTGTTCCTGCTGGTCTGTTCCGTGCAGCAGGGTGGGGTTACTGGGGGGAGGCGGGGCCTAGGCAGTGTTGGTGACCATTCTTCTTTCTACCAGGGTCATGGGCTGGGTGTTTGAAGCCTTGAGGCTGGTACCCAGCTGCCCTCTCCCCTGGCTGGGACAGAACTGGGGAGTAACCGTCAGGGTCTGTGTGCAGACCGGGGCAGAGAGCAGGAGCCCCAGTGGCTGGAGATGCCCTGGGGGAGTGAAGAGGGGTGGCTCTGGCTTTGGGGGGTTAGGGAAGGGCTTCCCTGTCTCCCTGCCCAGCTATGAGCTGCACTACAGTGAAGATCGAGAGCGGGAGCGGGGGCTCGAGGCAGAGGAGGGGCTGATGTCGGCTGAGGATTTCATGCCTGCGGAGGAGTTGGTGCCTGAGGAGGAGCTGGGGGCCACAGAAGAGGCCCTGCCAGCTGACGAGGGGGTGACGGAAGAGGCAGAGCTGGTGTCTGAGGAGGCTGAGGCCTGGGAAGAGGTGGAGCCCGAGCTGGATGAGGCAACGCGGATGAATGTGGTCACGTCAGCCCTGGAGGCCAGCGGCTTGGGCCCCTCCCACCTGGACATGAAGTATGTCCTCCAGCAACTGGCCAACTGGCAGGACGCCCATTACAGGCAGAGCTGAGGCAGAAGACGCTCCAGAAAGGTGAGTGCTCCCGTGGGGGCCTCCCTCCGGCCAGCCGGACAAGCTGCAGATCGTCAAGCCGATGCAAGGTGAGGGTAGGTGAGCCCCCCAAACGCTCACTTACCCCAGCCCCGCCCCACCCAGCGTGCTGATTTGCATGCACTTTGCATATCATTTACATAGGCACCTCAGGTCCCCCTCAGTGGGAGCTGTGGCCCCAATGCTTATTTACGTGGAGTTTGCATAGGATTCCAGATCTTCACCCTTTTTGCTCCTGGGGCTGGGCTGGGGGTCAGGGCGCGGACTGTAGCCCCTCACTGCGTCTCAGCTTCCTGTCTCGGCCTGCCCCCTTCCCGTGTCCCCCACCGCCACCTCCCCCATCCCCAAGGCTCCCCAACCCTGCAGCAGGGGCAGCAGCCAAAACAAACATGGGGGGCGGGGTCGTGGAGCAGCAGCTGGGGGGGCCAACCCAGGACTTTCGGAGGCTGGAGGAGGAAAGGGCCAATCACCCTCCCAGGGCCTGGGAGGAAGAGGGGCCTTCTGGGGCCACCCAGGCCATTGGGACGAAAGCCTCTGCCAGCAAGGGCCACAGTCAGACCAGTCCCCTGGGTGAGTCTGAAGGTGGGCTAGGGGCTCCTACAGGGTGATGGGGGGCGGTTAAGGTCTCCTCTCCCCAGCTGGAAGCCCCAAAGGTTGGGGAGTAACACCTGCTGAGTTCAGGCCTTGTGCTAGGCCGTGAGAGCCCTGCCTTGAGGAGTTCGTGGAGATATCAAAGATGATTTAGTGATGCGAATTATCTTCTCTAATCCTCACACCCCTGTAGGTACGTGTTATCCCCATTTGGAGAGGAAACGGAGGTTCAGAGAGCAAAATAATTTGTTCAAGGCCACTGAACCCGTTTTCGTCACTGCTATGCCATAATGACTTCCCTGACCCATCCCTCCCCTCTAACCCTGTCCTGGTGCCTTCTTGGCCTTCTGGGTGAGCTGTGATGTTTATAACCTGTTGGTAGCCTCACCATTATATCTGATCTGCCCTGACTCTGATGGCCGTTTGGTCACTGCTGGGTGGCCTCATCGGGGTCGCCATGTAAGGTTGTGCAGGTTGTAAACTTAATGGTGACCTCTATGACTGGACAACCTGCATAACTCTCAATGGTGGCTGTCTCTTTCTGATATAGCTGACCAGGCGTAGCCCCTGCCTGCTGCCCAGGCCAGACCTGTGGTCCTCAGGCCCCCAGTTCTCGTCCACCCACTTCTTTTCCAGGCTTTGCTGTTTCCCAGCAGCCTGCAGAGGCCCCATAGACAGCCTGAGGCCCCTCCTTCCGCTGCCTGGCCAAGCCCCACCCTCCCCAGACCTCCCTTCCCTTGCTCAGAAACCGGACCCCCGATCTGTCACCAGCCCACCCGCTGTCCTGATGAACCTGGGCCGGAACTTGAGGGCCCAAGCCTTGACCCTCTTCTGGGACAGGCTGAAGGAACCCCGGCCCTCGTTCTGCAGTTGGTGCAAAAGCTGTGGCTGCTGGGCCTGGATCACTTGGTGGCCCCAGGGGCGTAAGAAGCTCAGGGGGTGTAAGAAGCCCAGGGGGAGGCCCACCAGCTACCAGACTCGGCTCTGAGCTGGGGCAGGGCTCAGGCCCGGGGTGTAGGAAGTTGTTTTGAGCACCTTGCTCACTACATGCCCCTCACCCCTTGACCCCCAAATCAAAGGTGGCTTCCCAGTCCTTGGTGACTTTTAGGGACCTGGTCGTCTTTTCCAGTTCTTAGCTCTTTCTTCTCAGTCCCTAATTGCTGTGTGTAACCAGAAGCATCTGTCTGTGTGGGCGAGGACTCCCTCTGCCCGGGATGGGGGTGCAGGGCTCCCTCCCCTCCCCTGCCCTCCCCACCTCCCCACCTGTGGCCTGTGAGTGTCCAGGCTCCCTCCCAAGGCCCTGTCACTCCCCACCACGTCCTCTCCTCAGTGCCCCTTGTTTCCTTGTTCTAGATGTTTCGCCCTTTCCCACCCTTTACTCATAAACACCTGGAGTCGGGGGCTCAGGCCCCCGTCGGTATCTGCCCACTTCCCCATAGTGCTTCTCATGCGTCTGTTGCTTGTCAGCCCATGTACGTGCCGGTGAAGGAAATAAAGGACCTGTGCGCTACCTGGCCCAGCCTCTGCTGTCTTTCTCAGGGAGTGCACGTGTGTGTGTGTGTGTGTGTGCAATGTGTGCGTGTGCATGCGCACTTTGGTGGGGCAAAGCTGTGGCGAGAGGATGGGCTCCAGTCGTGAATTATGTGCTAGGGGCTTTGACTAAACACATAATCATTTCAGCAACCCCTGGGGGGGTGGTGGGTGATCTGACAAATGGTCGTCAGGTGATGAAACAGACACCTAGGCAGGTGAAGTGACCCTTCCAAGAGTGGAACAGCTGGTTGTGGAGCTGGGATTTGAACCCAAGCCCTCAGGCCTCCAGAGCCCATGCTTGGGCAGGCCCCCTTCCCCGATCCTTTCTGTTCCTGGGATCCTGACTCAGTGCCTAGCTGCAAAGGGTATAGCAGGAATGAAGTCACCACTGTTTTAGGCAGAGGTCCCCCAGAAGAACATGTGAAAACAAGTCGTTTATTCCGTTAAATGAGGCTGTTGGACTGACTCTTGCCAAGGCAGGATTCTCAAACACGCAGGCAGAGAGGGACAGAAAACAGTATGAGATCAGAAGGTCCCAGAACTTTTGTTATGAGTCTGGCTTGATATGTTAAATTTCCAGTTTAGAGTTTATCATTTTGGAAAATAAGAGCTCGATTCGCAGAGCGGTTTAGTCACCTTCTAATTCTTGGTGTTTCCAGAGCATTGATAATAAAGATTTCAATCATGAAAAAAAAAAACAAAACCCAAGTAGTTTATTTAGAAGATGATCCCAGGAAGCACTCTTGGTGGGGGAGTGGGGAATTGAGAACAGAAGGAAGCTAACGAAAGGGAGTTTTAGGCAACAGAGGCTCAGTCCTACCAGGGAACCCTGGGAGGGAGTGTAGCCCGTTGCAACTCAAAGTGTGGTCTGTGGACCAGCATCATTAACATCTGTTGGGAGTTTATCAGAAATGCAGAATCTCAGGTCTCACCCAACACCTATATTGTCAGAATCTGCATGTTGACAAGGTCCCCAGGACCTTGACCTTCAATGCATATTGAAGTCGGAGATGCACCAATCTAGAACCCATTTCAGTTACCCCATCCAAGGGGCGAGGAAGCTGGGGCAGGCATCCTCCAAGTTTCGTTTGTCATTGGCTGAGGTCTGCTCCTGGGGTTATTAACTCACTGGTGCTCTGGCCTCTCCACACATACGCTGGGGAAAAGCCCCCTGGCAGAGACTAACTGTGCTTGTCATGGACCATGGTCAGCGTGTGCTAGAATGGTGAGTGCCGAGGAGGCGGGCAGGTCACTGACAGTCTGCTACAGTCCACCCTTTGTGCCACTCAGATGCACTCAAGCCCCATGTGGAGTTCACTCTGGCCTGGCATTGCTTCTTTAAGATGGCGGCTGGTCACAGTGTCTTAGGAAGAAGAATTACACCTGGAGGATGAATGGTATAAGCTGTGGTCCTCAGCTGCAATTGCTCCTGAATCCCTAGATGATACTTCTCATCTCCTTCCTCTACCACCCATCCTATATTCCCCTCTTCCTTGGTCAGCACTTCAGCTGGTCCAGGTTGCTTTCTGGTTACTGGTGAAGTAACCTAGATTCCTGAGAGGTCTGAACACTTGGTCATCGGCCCTGGTCAGGCTATTGTTACTGCAACTGCCTGTTTGTTTATGGTTATTGCCAGGCAGGAAGTCCCAAGACTCTCCTCAGTGAATCCCCCTGAGTTCCAGACCCTGAATACTCCTTCCTGTCCCCACTATGAGGCAGTGATCCTAACCCCTCATGTTAATCAGAATCAGTAACCCCTGCTAATAATTGGCCTTTCTTTGCCTGATGGTCTAATGACATGAACCAAAAATGGCCAGGCAGCCTCTATAACTTTTTTTTCTTTTTCTTTCTTTTTTTGTTTTTGGCCGCACTGTGTGGCTTGCAAGATCTTAGTTCCCTGACTAGGGATCGAAACTGGGCCCCCTGTAGTGGGAGCACAGGGTGCTAACCACCGGACCACCAGGGAATTCACAAGCCCCTATAACTTTAGGTTTAGGAGAACTTTTACTGTTCTCCCTGGTGGAAGCATCTTTCCCCGGGAACCAGGATTTCTAGTCCAGGAGTGTCTAGAGTTGTAGGGATGGGAAGTACAAATTTCTGAGGTGGGCCACTGGCAATGTTGGTCATAGGGACCACTTCCACTCTCCCCCTAGGTTCCCGGACCCACGTGTTCTGGCTGTCAGGGACAAAGCATTGTTTGAGAACCTCTGGCTCAAAGTATATCCTTCACCCCACCCTCCAGGGTGCATCCCCAAGTTAATGCCTTAGCTGCGCCTTTAATTCCGACATTCTTTTAGGCCTGCGGTCTCTGGGTCACATGGTGTCTGGTAGGACAAGTGGATCCCATGGTCATATGCTCATTGCTGCACCTCCTTCACTATAAAGCAGGTCCCTTGTCTGAGGTCCTGTTTTTTTATTTTTTTATTTTTTTTTTACTTAAGATCTTTATTGGAGTATAATTGCTTTACAATGTTGTGTTAGTTTCTGTTGTACAACAAAGTGAATCAGCTATATATATGCGTATATCCCCATATCCCCTGCATCTAGCATCTCCCTCCCACCCTCCCTATCCCACCCCTCTGGGTGGACACAAAGCACCGAGCTGATCTCCCTGTGCTATGTGGCTGCTTCCCACTAGCTATTTTACATTTGGTAGTGTATATATGTCAATGCTACTCTCTCACTTCGTCCCAGCTTACCCTTCCCCTCCCCGAGTCCTCAAGTCCATTCCCTACATCTGTGTCTTTATTCCTGTCCTGCCCCTAGGTTCATCAGAACCTTTTTTTTTTTTTTTTTAGATTCCATATATATGTGTTAGCGTACGGTATTTGTTTTTGTCTTTCTGACTTTCTTTGCTCTGTATGACAGACTCTAGGTCCATCCACCTCACTACAAATAACTCAGTTTCATTTCTTTTTATGGCTGAGTAATATTCCATTGTATATATGTGCCACATCTTCTTTATCCATTCATCTGTCGATGGACACTTAGGTTGCTTCCATGTCCTGGCTATTGTAAATAGAGCGGCAATGAACATTGGGGTACATGACTCTTTTTGAATTATGGTTTTCTCAGGGTATATGCCCAGTAGTGGGATTGCTGGGTCATATGGTAGTTCTATTTTTAGTTTTTTAAGGAACCTCCATACTGTTCTCCATAGTGGCTGTATCAATTTACATTCCCACCAACAGTGCAAGAGGGTTCCCTCTTCTCCACACCCTCTCCAGCATTTCTTGTTCGTAGAGTTTTGGATGACGGCCATTCTGACCCGTGTGAGGTGATATGAGGTCATGTTTTATGGGATCCTGTGATGACATGTCACACACTGTACGTCCTTAGATGCTCTGTCGTCCTGTAGTGCTGGGGGAGGCGCTGCGGGCAGAAGGGAAAGCCTACATTCAGAACGTGAACCACTCCCCACCAGGATGGTTCAATGCCCCTTCTAGGGTGGAAGGTGTCTGATGGAATCAATTTACCGAGTGGCTTGTTGGTCCCCTAAGGGCGTGATCCCATAGCCAGGACTCAGAAATGGCATCTGCTGCTCACAAGTCGGAAGTGCAGCAGAGGTAGTAGCTGGATTGACTATCGATTCCATGCCTGACCTCTGTCTCTGGCACCATGGTCACTTTACTCATGGGCCCATAGTGCAAGTCGGGAGTGGCCAAAGACTGCACCTAGCTGACCTCCATTGGGTGAGACATCCTGACCACCTGGTCGTTTCAGTGGATGCTCTCGGGTGGGCACTGGTGTGAGACACGAAAGTCCACAGGCCCTGTGCCACCCTCCATGGATCTATCTACTTGCCTCTTTCCCAGATGTCTTCGTTTCGGAATTTCTAGTCTTTCTCTTGCATGTCCCCTGACCGATCTGCTGCTGCCCGGAGGTCTGTGTGTGTTCTTCCCCCAAACCGCTTCTCCCTCCACGCCAAGTGGATGCCCAGGTCCAGAACGTGAAGCTCTACCCACCTGAAAGGCTGCCCTTCACCACCGTATTCCAGGGCCACCCAGAGTGAGCCATGGTTCAGCAGCAGTTCATTTTCAGTTTTTACCAGCTTATCAAGTCTACCCCGTCGTGAACCAGGCCTGAATTTTTCCTCCTGTATGAGCTGGCCATAGGGAAACTCCAGTGAGGCTATAGGGGTAAGCCGAGGAAGAGGCACTGGTGCAGTAGACGTAGGTGGCCTGGGGGTGTGGGTGACTGACTAACTTGTTTGTGCCCTCTGGCCTTCCTCAGGCCCAGTCTCAAGTGTACCATTTCATCCTAAACTGAATCACTGCTTGGCCCATCCAACCTTATGACGTGGTGAGTCTGAAAACACCCAGCCCATGGTGGGCAACTCTGGTTGCATAGTAACTTAATGTCCAGTGGCCAAGTGCTCATTCCCTACTAGGGCCCAGTAGCATGCTGGGAGTGGCTTTTTTAACAGTAAATAATTCTCTTCTGTAGATAGCATGCCCTTGACTCTAGAACAGGGGTCAGCAAACTATGACCCGTGGGCCAAATCTGGCCCATCACCTGTTTTTGTTTGGCCTGCAAGCTAAGAATGTTTTTTATAGTTTAAATGGGTACACTTTAAATGGTTATTTGAGTACCTATGCAATGTCCTTGATTTTGCCTCTTGGCCTGCAAAGCCTAAAATATTTTCCATCTGGCCCTTTAAAAAAAGTTTGCCAGCCTTAGGGGTCTGCACTGCACTTCCCTTATTGGGACTTCCCAGAGACTTCACATGAAATTCTTGTCCAACACAGATATTTCTAGCACTGTGGGATCTGTAGCATCATAATTACTGAGATTCCTTTTAAAAATTTTTTATTTTATATTGGAGTATATTTGATTAACAATGTTGTGTTAGTTTTAGGTGTACAGCAAAGTGATTCAGTTATACATGTACATGTATCTATTATTTTTCAAATTCTTTTCCTGTTTATTGCAGAGTATTGAGCAGAGTTCCTTGTGCTATACAGTAGGTCCTTCACAATTACTGAGATTCTTATCTGTAGTGAATTAGGATGGGATCCCGGTGGATGAGGGTCCATTGGCTTATCAATTGCTTCAGCACTTGAGAGATAAGAGCAATGATTATTATGACTGTGGAGTGGCTTGGCTATTGTTAATCATCAGAGAATCTCTAAAGGAGGAAAATGTTAGGCTCAGGTCAGCCAACCATTCACTCAGGATATGGTATGAAAGTCAAATGGCCTCCATTGCAACAAAGGGAAGATTGCATTGGAAATCAGGACCAAGACCTGATGGTAAGAGTGCAGAGTAACAAAGGAGGCTGAAAGCAGCACCCCAAAAGTCTCCTCTGCTGAAGTCCTAGAATGAAAGGATGTCCTAGAATGACACCCATGGGTGGAACATTTGAGGAGATGCCCTTAAAAATCTTTTTTTTTTTGCGGTACGCTGTTGTGGAGCACAGGCTCCGGACGTGCAGGCTCAGCGGCCATGGCTCACGGGCCCAGCCGCTCCGCGGCATGTGGGATCTTCCCGGACCGGGGCACGAACCCGTGTCCCCTGCATCGGCAGGCGGACTCTCAACCACTGCACCACCAGGGAAGCCCTGCCCTTAAGAATCTTGAACTCCCAATCCTCCTACACTGTTGGTGGGAATGTAAATTGGTACAGCCACTATGGAAAGCAGTGTGGAGGTTCCTTAAAAAGCTAAAAATAGAGTTGCCGTATGACCCAGCAATCCCACTCCTGGGCATATATGTGGGCAAAACTCTAATTTGAAAAGATACATGCACCCCTATGTTCATACCAGAACTATTTACAATAGCCAAGACATGGAAGCAACCTAAATGTCCATCGACAGATGAATGGATAAAGAAGATGTGGTACATATATACAATGGAATACTACCCAGCCATAGAAAGAATGAAATAATGCCATTTGTAGCAACATGGATGGACCTAGAGATTATCATACTAAGTGAAGGACGTCAGAGAAAGACAAGTACCAAAAGATATCACTTACATGTGGAATCTAAAATATGACACAGGGACTTCCTTGGTGGTGCAGTGGTTAAGAATCTGCCTGCCAATGTGGGGAACATGGGTTCGAGCCCTGGTCCAGGAAGATCCCACATGCCACGGAGCAACTAAGCCTGTGAGCCACAACTACTGAGCCTGCACTCTAGAGCCTGCAAGCCACAACTACTGAAGCCTGTGCGCCTAGAGCCCGTGCTCCGCAACAAGAGAAGCCACCGCAATGAGAAGCCTACCCACCGCAACGAAGAGTAGCCCCCGCTCACTGCAACTAGAGAAAGCCCGCACTCAGCAATGAAGACCCAACTCAGCCAAAAATAAATTAATTAATTAAGAAGAAAATGACACGAACCTGTCTACAAAACAGAAACAGACTCACAGACATAGAAAACAAATTTATGGGGAATTCCCAGTGGTTAAGACTCGGCACTTTCACTGCCGTGACCCGGGTTTGATCTCTGGCCGGGGAATTAGGATCCTGCAAGCCTTGCGTCCCAAGGCCAAAACAAACAAACAAACAAACAAATAAATCCCCTCCCCCATTTAAAAAAGAAAAGAAGGGCTTCCCTGGTGGCGCAGTGGTTGAGAGTCTGCCTGCCGAGGCAGGGGACACGGGTTTGTGCCCCGGTCCGGGAAGATCCCACGTGAGAGGCCCGTGTACCGCAAAAAACAAAAAAAAACAAAAAAAAAAAAAACTTATGGTTATCAAAGGGGAAAGGGGGTGGGATAAATTAGGAGTTTGGGATTAGCAGATACACACTATTACATATAAAATAGATAAACAACAAGGGCCTGCTGTAAAGCACAGGGAACTATATTCAATATCTTGTAATAAACCATAATGGAAAAGAATATGAAAAAGAATATGTATACATATGTATAACTGAATCATTTTGCTGTACACCAGAAGCTAACACAACGTTGTCAATCAACTATACTTCAATTAAAAAAAAAAAAGTAAAAGAATCTTGAACTCCCGGTTTCCGGGAATCCTCTGGGCTGGAAGAAGGGCCTCTACTTTGCCAGAGGGGAGCAGCTTCCCTTTACCTGGAGGCTGCAAAGACCTCCTTGAGGCAGATGCCTCCTGAAATGATGCTTCTCAAGATTTGCCCCTGCCACCCTTAGGCGTTTCTAAACCACAAGCTAACGTCCAGGTCTTAGCATGTGGAGAAGTACTGTTCCGGATAAGAGAAGAGAGGGATTATTCTCTGCCAAATGCTGCAGGAGCTGAATGACCTGGTACCAGCAGGGACCAGGACAACAAATATAGGAGTGGATTTTTGAGGTTGGTAGACCCAGGAGGGTGAGCTGGAGAATGACTGGCTAGGGGAGAGTTTATTTTATTTTATTTTATTTTGGCCACACCGCCCGGCTTGCGGGATCTTAGCTCCCCGACCAGGGATTGAACCCAGGCTCTCGGCAGTGAAAATGTGGAGTCCTAACCACTGGACGGCCAGGGAATTCCCAGGGGAGAGGAGTTTATTGATATGGGAGACAAGGATGCCTACCCTCCTATGACTCAGGATTTAACTTCCTGGCAAAGACACCTGAAGCCAAATGACTCGCTGGCAATGACTCCTTGACAGACAAAACAACAGCATACAGCAATTGAATCGAAGATGTCTGAATTGCCTCAGCAGAGTATTGAGGAAGGAGACAACAGGCTCAGAGAGGCAGCAGTGAAGACCCATTCCATTGCTAGAATGGAATTGTGATGTAAGATGAGAGAATCCACAGGTGACTGTGATGCTTCAGGTGTTATCAACACCCCTCTTAGCACAGCAGTGGGGTCTGGCCGGTGCAGGACCAAATCCCAGAATCCCATCATGGGGGTCTTACTTCCTATAACCGCTTCTAGTACCCACTGTCTTAGGATGCGTTCCCCCAGGTGCAGACTTGGAGATAGGGATTTGAATGCAAGTAGTTTATTTGGGCGGTGATCACAAGAAATACCTGTAGCAGCCTAAGGATGTGAGACAGGGAAGGGAAGGGAGCCGATAAAGGAGATCGTTGAGCAGGTTACTGTTGTGGGTAACTAGGGCTCAGTGCTACTGGGGACCTCTGGGAGACAGAGTATCATATACCTCAGTGTTACCCCGCCCCAGGTGAGGGAGCTGGGGTAGTTATTCTCCAACTCTAATCTGTCATTGACTGACAGATGCTTCTGGAGGTACGAACTCCCCAGAAATTCCAGCCTGCCTTGCGTTCTGAAAGCCCTCAGGTGGCGAGTAGCAGGTGCCTGGGATAGGATGCTGTGACAGGCACAGGAACAGTAAAGGAATACGAGCAAAACGCCAAGTGTGTGTGCTGGCCACGTGCCTATCCATTTGATAAAGATTTTTAAAATTATTTCTTTATTTAATTCATTTTTGGCTGTGTTGGGTCTTAGTTGCAGCACACGGGACCCCTCGTTGTGGCGCTCAGGCCTCTCTCTAGTTGTGGCGTGTGGATTTTCTCTTCTCTAGTTGTGGTGCGTGGATTTTTCTCTTCTCTAGTTGTTGCGCGGGTTCCAGAGCGCGTGGGCTCTGTAGTTTGTGACACGCGGGCTTTCTCGTTGAGACACACGAACTCAATAGTTGAGGCATGCGGGTTTAGTTGCCCCGCGGCATGTGGGATCCTAGTTTCCTGACCGGGGATCAAACCTGCATCCCCTGCATTATAAGGCACATTCTTTACCACTGGACCACCAGGGAAGTCCCCTATTTGATAAATATTTATGGGGTATCTCCTGTTCTTGGCACTAGGGATACAGCAGGGAAGAAGGACACGTAGTCCCCACCCATACAGAGTTTCCCTTCTACCTGGGGAGGCAGACAATAAACTGGCAAACAAACAACTACAGATTGTGAAATGCGCTCTGCAGACGGTGCTATGCTGTGATGAAAGACTATTGGGGGCTGCGTGCGAGGAGCAGAAAGGGCAGGTCTCTCAGGAAGAGGCCTTTCAACCAAGACCCAAGAGAAAAAGAGGAGCTGGCCACGTTTGTGCCCAGGAAATGCATTCCACGCACAGGGAACAGCGAGGACAAAGGTTCAGGGCAGGAAAGAGCATGGTGCGCTTGAGTAGCAGGAAGGAAGAGGAAGGAGGAAGGAATTTGGCACCCATGAGGTGGAAGAGGACAGCAGGGCTAGGTCTTAGGGCTATGGCAAGGAGCCCACGTTGGTTTTTTTGTTTGTTTTTGTTTTGTTTTTCTGGCTGGGCCATGCGGCATGTGGGTATCTTAGTTCCCCAATCAGTGATCCAACCCGTGCTCCCTGCAGTGGAAGCGTGGAGTCTTAACCACTGGACCGCCAGGGAAGTCCCCAGGAGCTTAGGTTTTATTCTAAGTGCAACGGAAAGCACTGGGGGGTTGACTCTGGAGTGGCATGATTGATTTCTCTTTTAGAGGGCTCACTCTGGTTGCGATAACACCGTCTATTCTCCCATCCACACTATAGAGTCTTGTTCAACGTTAAGCTCTGGGGACACCCAGGAGACTTAGCTAGTATCCCTGCCCCTAGGGGCGTGCTCAACCCTCCTCCCTGTCTCAACTCTGCCGCAGCCACCCCCATTCCCTGCCCCGTGACACTTGACACAATGTGATCCATTCATTGGAAGCTAGTTTATTTCGATTTATGTTTCATGGGGCTGGGCTAGGCTGGGCTGGGAGGTGGCTGGGCTCTCAAGCTTGGCTCTAGGGACCTAGGTCCCCTTCCTCGGCACTGCGGCGGCCGAAGTCCATCCAGCCATATGCTTCTTCTTCTTCTTCCACCCATGGTCCCTGCTTCTTGGACAGGTCTGAGGGTCAGAGGTGGGAGAGGAGGTGAGGATGGGGGAAGGATGCCTAGCCTCTGGAGACTGAAGCCAGGGCCAGCCTGGGGGGACCTTGGCTAAACCAGGCTGGGCGAGGCAAGTAGGGAGTGTTAGCAGCAGCTCCTACCTGCTACCAAGTGTGAGGGACCCTGGAGCCCCAGCTGCCTTCGGTGGTGAGAGGCTGGGCCCAGCCGGCCCAGCCCATGTGGCTCCTGGTCCCTATTGGCCCCTGGACCCAAGGGTGCATCTTGCAGGTGGGAGCGGGGCTTCCAGGTAGCTTCAGAGAAGGTGGCCAGAGCCAGCACCAAGATCAGCACATACGCACACAGTCGCTGCATCTTGTCTGCAAAGGAGAGAGGGGTTGAGCTTAAAGGTGGGGCTGTCCAGGCACCCAGAGGCAGGGCCAGGACCCTCCCTGCTGACGGATCTGCAATTCTGCGTGGGGTTGTGCTCTGTTCCTCCAGGTCCTGCCAGATCCTCCCCTAACTCCCAACCTCAAGCCTTGCCCCTTTGCTCCTTACCTACCCTAGTTACAGTGACTGTTTCTCTCGGAGGAATTTAAAACCCAGAACAATGGTTTCTAAACTGTTCTGAAGAATTTGAGGCCACGTGAGCGGTTCTGTAATGCTTAAGTCTTGCAACTGAAAGTGAACTTTTTTTTTTTTTTTTTTTGCGGTACGCGGGCCTCTCACTGTTGTGGCCTCTCCCGTTGCAGAGCACAGGCTCCGGACATGCAGGCCCAGCGGCCATGGCCCACGGGCCCAGCCGCTCCGAGGCATGTGGGATCCTCCCGGACCGGGGCACGAACCCGTGTCCCCTGCATCGGCAGGTGGACTCTCAACCGCTGCGCTACCAGGGAAGCCCTGAAAGTGAACTTTTAAATAGTAATAGGAATGGGATACACACACTCAGCTGCTCATGCCTCTCTATGCAGCCAACCAGCACATTCACTGTGTAGTGGGGTCACCCTGTTTTTGTGCAGCCTTCGGAGGAAAGGTTCTCCTGCCATTTTCACTTACCTGAGGACTATCCTCTGATTATAATCTAGCAGTTAACAAACAAACAAACAAACTGAAACTGTCACCATTTGCAGCTGTGTGTCAAGGTGAACCAAGTTTGGGGAAACCAGAATACAGAAATAAACCGGACCCTCAAACAAATCTAAAATTTATCGGAAGTAAATAATAAACATGTTGCCTTCGAAGAACACATTTGTATTAATAAATTACTGGTTTCTTCTGTTTTCTCTGTTAGATTTCTTTTGGAAGAGAAAGGGTTCTGCTGCTAAAGAAACAAACCTGAAAAACCAGTGATCTAGAGTGATGCTGTCCAATATGGTAGCCACCAGCCACATGTGGCTCTTTACATTTAAATTAATAAAAGTTAAAAATTCCTGGGACTTCCCTGGCGGTCCAGTGGTTAAGACTCCGTGCTTCCTCTGCAGGGGGCATGGGTTCAATCCCTGGTCGGGGAGCAAAGATCCCACATGCTGGGTGGCCACACACACACACACACACACAAATTCCTTTCTTGCACAAGCCACATTTTTAGTGTACATGTGGCTGGCGGATACCGTATTGGACAGTGAGGCTGTGGAATGTTACCACCAACATGGAAAGTTCCATGAGACAGTGCTGGTCTAGGAAAGAGCTTGAGATGGGTCTAGGAGCTGTAGGTTCCAGTTCCAACCCTGCCCAATTTGTGTGACTTTGGGCAAGTCACATCTCTCTCTGGGCCTCAGTTTTCTCCCCTGAGAGATGGGAGAATAGTCTTCATCCTCACCCCGCAGGGCTGGGGTGAGCATGGAGTCAGGGGGTCAGGGAAGGGCCCTGGTTGAGGCAGCAGGGCAGCTCGAAGGCAAGGGCTGGGATGCCAGGGTGGGTCCTAGAGCTGAGACCTAACCCAGCTAAGGGCTAGGGGAAGGCTCCCAGCCCTGGAGACACTGAAATGTGAGGCTGCTAACTGGCTGAGGGCAGGGGTCCCATCAACCCTCCTCCCAGCTTCTCCCCTCCCTTCCTGGGTACTCTCACCTGCAGAGTTGGGAGATGCGTGTCGCTGCTGTTGGCCTGGTGCCTCAGTTCTCTGCTCTGCTGGGCGCTCCAGCCTGACTTATAAACCCTCAAGGGCCCTCCCAAGCCCTCCTCCCCCAGGAGGCCAGGCTCCCCACTGCAGAGGAATAAGGATGGGCACAGGTACCTCAGCCCCGCCCCGCCCTGTCATTTAGTCAGCTGTCCAGATGTGGGGGAAGGGAAGGCGAGTTGAACTTCACAGAGAGGGGCAGGAGCAGAGTGGGGGCAATTCTTCAGCTGGGCATATCAGGCGGGAGACAGGCTCCCTGGGCTCAGGACAGAGCCCCCTGCCATGTCCTTGGGGTCAGCAGCCTGGTGATCATTCCTTGGACCACATCCCAGTTGGATGGACCGAGTGACCTTAGATTCAGAGGAAGCCTATTTCCCGACATGTTCATGTTTGAAGAGCAGGGAGTGTGTGAATGTGGAGTGATGTATTGATCCCCTGTCCCCTCTGTTGGGCTCTGCAAACAGGACGTGTCATAGTTATCAGGAGCAATGGGCCGTGGGCTGATGGCCCCGCTTTCTCTGCCTAGTGGCTGCGTCCTGGTTGCCTCTGAAGCCCCTTCACCTCCCTTACCTGGAAAACCCTGAGCGTCCCCCTTCTGATGCCTTTGACGCCCTCTACGCTGGGCTGGGTTTAGCTTGGGGCTCCCCATCATCTCTCGGGTCTGTCCCTCCTCCCCCACCCCTTGCATCCCCCATCAAAGCCAGCTCCTTGAGGTTCCTGCACTTCCAGGCTCCCTCATTTTGTTTGCAAAGCAAGACAGTAATCTGCACTTTTCAATATCAAAATACATCTTTAAATGGTTAGCAAAGAGACTAAAGCGTTTGCCCGAATGTACCAGAAAACCAAAGGGTGCGTTTGGTCAACTTATTTGATAAACTGCTGCATCGACCTGGTTTGGGTGGATATGACTAGCTCTAGGCTGTGTTTGATTTTTCCACGGTTGGGGCTAGAGATTTAGCTCTTGTTCATGTGTCGTCAGGGCCCCTCCTTGTCTGGGGGAGTTTTGATGCCCCTGGGTATCATACGGGGCCGTGGTACCCACGCTCACAGCCAGACTTGCTGAAAATGAGCAGGCGATGAAAGAAGCAGGCTGTGAAGTGTCCATGGCAACCAGTGGCCAAACGTTCTGATAAATAACCACTCACATCCGGAGCAGGACTCAGGGACTCAGCAGATGAAATAAATGAAAATGACAAAAACGGGGCAGGCATTGTTGATAATTAATCGAATCACAGAATCTCAGAGATGGAAGGGACTTTGAGGGGGCTTGGGAGAAAAGGTGGGGTGGGGAGCAGCTCTGCTCACGTGCTAGGGGAATAGAGGCGTTTGCGTTGCTGTGGTAACAGGAAATTATAAGCTTACAGCAGAGCCCTGGTTGTATAGGGCCCAAGACTTGATTTCTGCTGAGGAGGGGGTTATGCTCCTTTGGTTGTTCTTCTGCAGGCTGGCTACTGGAGGGGTGGCCACTGCACAAAACAGAAGCAGGTACCCCCATGCAATAGGTGATGGTGGAAGACGGCTGCTGCTGGTGGGCGTTGGCGGGCCTGCGGGTGGCGGGGGCGGGGGGCGCTCACAGTCACAGAAACTGCATGTTCTCCTCACAAGGGGAGCTAGTCTGATGGCAAAGGGAAGGGTTTCCTGGCTTTGTCCTTTTCCAGTTTGGGGCAGATGGCTGTTTTATCCCCCCAGGAAACAAAGGAAGTAACTTGGAGAGGAGTCTTGAAGATGATGTACATAAAGCAAGCTGCCCAGAATATCGTGGGCATCTAATTTGTTTGCATCCTCTCCCCTTAGTCTCTCTGGGTCTCAGTTAGCCTCATCTGTGAAATGGGAATCACTCATTCCTACCTCACAGGGCTGTGGTGAAGGGGGAATGTGACAAGATCTATGCACACGTTTTGCATACACGGTCCTGAGTTTACATGACTGACCAAGGAGAGCTGGGCTGGAAACTCTGGGACCTGTGAAGATGTGACAGTGCATGGCAAAAGAGATGTTGCCCATGCGACTAAGGTTACAAACTTTAAAATAGGAAGTTTACCCTGGATGGTCTGAGTGGGCCCAATTTAATCAGATGAGTTCTTAAAAACAGAGAGCGCTCCACGGCCAGAGGCAGAAGTGATGTGGCTGAAGGATGAAACAGAGATTTGAAGAATGAGAAGGACCAGCCTTGGCTGGTCTGAAGGCGGGTGGGGGGCAGCGAGATGAGGGATGCAGGTGACCTTAAGGAGTGAAGTGGTTCCCCCTGACCACCAGCAAGGAACAGGGATTTCAACCCCATGACCGCAAAGAACTGAATTCAGCCAACAACCTGGATGAATTTGAACTTGGATTTGTCCCTGGCACCTCCAGAAAGGAATGCAGCCCTGGCAGCACCTTGATTTCAGCCCAGTGGGCCATGCTATACCTGGACTCCTGACCTACAGAACTGTGAGGGAATGAATTTGCGTTGTTTTAAGCTTCTAAGTTTGTGGTAATTTATTATGGCAACACTAGAAAATGAATCCAAGGAGTTCCAGCCTTTTGAAGGCTTCTGTCAGTGAGAACGGACCCTGAGTGAGTTCGCGGGTGATTTTTCCAGTGCACTTAAGGGAGATGTTTGTCAGGACATCTGACTGTCCATCTAGTCCATTTTTGTTCCAGTTATCGAGCATGTGCTGTAAACCACAGTCTGGATGAGGCCCTGGGGATAAGAGGTGACTGTGACTGGCCCTCTCATTGCTTTGGTGGAGTTTAGATTCTTGAGGAGGGGGGACACATAAAATAGACAAAAGCGATGGTTCCCTGTCAAGGGGAAAAGCTTCCCTGGACTCCGCTGCCACCACGTCCCCCGCCCCTCGCCCCAGCTACGCTCCCTGCTGTCAGGACTGGCCTTGGGAAACCTCTGATGAGCTGCTGTCAGGAAGGCAGTGCCTTGGCTCCCTAATCAGTTATTGATATGGAAAAAGGGAGAGGTTGACGGTGACTCAGTCACCCCGCCCCAGGCAACGGGGCCTTGGAGGGTGTGAAGGTGCTGGGACAAACAGTGACACCTGGGTGCCGTTCATATCCACATGGGCATCCACGGTTCCTCCCAGGGCTGGGGCTGGGGCTGGGGAGAGGGAGATGGGTTCACGACTTCTAGCCTCACCTGCTGTCCGAAGGTCATAAGGTAGCAGAACCAAGAGGACAGCCCGTATGATGCCCTCAGGCTGAACTGGAGAGGCCACCCGCCAACCTCAAGGGCAGGTGACAGGCCCGGCGGAGAGGAGAGAGAGCAGAGGT